TTTCCTCTGTCAACAGAATTACATATCTACGAACAGGTTCACAGTCCTCAGAGCAATTTGCCCCAAACAACAAAAAATTTTCTGCAGGGCTACAAACACGCTTCCTACAATTAAGAAAACTCACAAGCCAAGCTACAGCTTGATCATCCTTACCAAATGGGGCTCTATCCCCCCCAATAGCAACTTTGAATGAGCCTACACCCTCCCCAAACCAGCATAGCTTATCTACTCTGTTTTTGTTTGCATTGAGGTAAAAACTAGCCATTCTTAGCAAAAGTTGAAGAAGGTTTCTAAACTTTCCATCTACCTTGTCTTCTTCACCAAGCCCATGACACAGAATTTCTCGCACATCGTGTAATTCACCAATATCAATTTGTTTGACCCTCTCCATTAATTTCTGATAGGTAAGCAATCTAGGAACTGGAATCCTCTTCATAAACTCTATATGCTTTCTCCCCTTGCCAGTTTCATTCTCACACATTGAGAGGGATGACCTGATTGAAATGTATTTTTGTTTACTTGCAATTCCCCCCCTGTACAGAACATTAACACTTCTTACAAAGTTGGCATCACTCTTCTCAAAGACTTTTATCTTATCTTTCACAACCCTTGGGATAACCTTTTCAGAAAACTTGGGGCATTTCCTAAACATATTGGTTAATTCTGGAACTGAACAATTTGTATTGAGGGCAGCAATGATGCCTTCATAGGCAGGAAGCATGTTGTCGGGAGTTGCTCCATGGAGAGTTTGGGCAACCTTTATAGTCTCCTGGCACCTCCTTCTAGAACTGGGCTCAGGGCCAGAAATTCTGCCAACTTCAGTCAAAGAGGTTGGAGATTGCTTCCTGCTATTTATTAAGCGACCACTGTATTCTCCATTTTTACCCTGCAAAGCAGGTACAAAAATATAATATAATATGACAATAGAAATAAACATTAAATAAATATTAAATAAATAAAGTACAGAACTTATCGGTTTCGACTTATTTCTAATATTAATTATTAGGAAGTGATGGTCCTCAGAATATAATTACATGTTAAATGTACTTTAGTGGCACAGTATAGCAAAATAATAAGAGCATATCAACAACATTCCAGAATAAACACAACAGCATAATATTTGGCTAACCTTAGCTCTTAATTCCACATCCCCGTTGAACCTTTCAAACGACTCGTCAATAATCATTGCCTAGCAAGTGTTTAAAAGAATAAAACCGAAACTTAAGTTCTCATATTAAACAAACAGTTCAAACAGAAAAATTTATAGTAAAGTTAACATTCAATCATAATTAGTTGTTTATATCCTACCTTTGACTGGAGTCGCTTCAGCTTCTTTGCCTTTGCAACGTAATTTTTGTCTTTCGCAAGGGCGGAAGCAAGTTGAATGTCTTGATTTCTTTTAATCTGAAGATATTTGTTCAATGGAAATCGACGATTTTGCCCTTTACTTCGACCCATTGCGGTGATTTATTCATTTATTCATTTGATCAGGCATCTGTCTGTAAACAAAAAAGAGGCAGAAGGAGTGGCTTGCGACGCATCCAACCGATCATGGGTCGAAAGTAGACGTGGAAAAAAATTAATTTCCATCAAAACGGAATAGAAATTCAAAAATCGAAATCGAACAAGTCCTTACCATTACACAGAGGTGTCCAAACATGGCATCTTCGCTTGCTGTCGTTCGCTCTCCTTTACTTTTAAATCTTCCAAACAAAGCCCAAAATCGGTCCCACATCGAAGAAGCTAAGATATGCCTGTCTTTCCCAAGACGTGAGGCAAAATTTATCCGACAACTAATGGCAAGTTTGGTATCAAATAAACGCTTTCGAGGAGCTTGATGTAGTTATTCTAATTTTACCGCGCTATGAGCTACCCAGAAGCCTTAAAAAGGCCTTCATTCTGCTCCTCTCCAGTCCCCTTGTTGGGTTGTCACTCGGGCAATATGGCGCCGAAAAAGAATGTGGACAGATTTCTGGCCGGAAATGGCAGGAAAAATCCCAGCGTGCACGTTCGCTCTAACGGGCACAAATGCCGTCAACGGAAAGTAGATGCTGTTCCCTTCTGTCAAACGTATTTAATTTTCACAGTGATACGTACGTCGAAAGTTTACCAAGATGACAGACACTGACCATGTGGAGTTGGGTTTGCAAGTTCCAGCACCATCACAAGCTGTTCCTCAAGTAGTTGTTCCCCAAGCTGTTCCTCAAGTTTATCCGCACAATTTCTCGCTGCCACATGCAATGAAATGTCATGGAGATGTCATCGGAAACTGGGATTTCTTCAAACAGCAGTGGAGTGATTACGAGATAGCAACTGGCCTCGACAAGTGAGAAGAATTGGTCTGCCTTGTGACCTTGAGATCTGCCATGGGCAGGGAATGTCTTCAAATATTTTTCAACCTAAACCTTACAGAGGAAGACAAAAAGAAAGTCGGCAAATGTCTGGAAGGGCTGGAGAATTACTTCAAGCCCAGCAGAAATGTGGTGTACGAAAGGTACATCTTTAATACGTGCGTGCAGCAAAGTGAAGAATCCGTACAGAGTTACGTAACAAGATTGAGAAAGTTGGCCGCTTCTTGCAAATACGGTGAACCGACGGATGAGTTTACACGAGACAGATTTGTCATCGGCTTAAAGGATAAAGGAGATAAAGTCACATTGCTGAGAGATAAGAAGTTGGATTTACAGAAAGCGATTCAAATGTGCATGATGAGTGAAGTCGCCTCACGGCAAATGAAGAACATTTGAGGTGCTGAAGACAAGCAGACGAAAGAAGTTAAGTTTAATGAAAGAAAAAAAGCACAAAAGCCTCCTCGTAAGAAGGTAGAAGAAAATTCGTCCAAAGCAAAGAAGAATGAAGACAAGAAGTCGAAACGTGAGAGTTCTGAAGCCAAATGCAGATGTTGTGGTCATATAAAACATCATGGACGAAGAATGGAATGTCCCTCATTCGGACAAACATGCAGCAAATGTCAAAAGAAGGGTCATTTTGCGTCTGTGTGCATTTCTTCCAAAAAAGTACACCAGTTGGAAGACAGCAATGAGTCAAGTTCAGATGAGAGCTGCCTGAGAGTTGAAACAGTATCCTTGGTTCAAACAAAGTCAAGACAGTGGTTGGCAGATATCACATTCTTCAGCTCTGCTCAGGAAGATTTCTCAACAACTTTGACATGTCAACTCGACACCGGTGCTACCTCCAATGTACTCTGCTTAGATGATCTTTCAGCCGTTACACAGTTAGGAGGCCCACCTATGAAAAACTGTTTGGTGGTTCAACAATGAAGCCAACTGGAGAATGCAACCTGAACATCAAGCACAATGGTACGAAACATGTTCTGAAGTTTCAAGTTATTCAAGACAAGTGTAAACCCTTGCTGTCAGCAGAAACTTGCGAGAAGTTGCAGCTCATCTAGTTAAATGCCAGTGTTATGGATAGTGTTCACCAGCTAAATGACAGTGTTGTTCCAGAGCCTCTGTCAAAGGAAGAACTCATAAGCAAATTTCAGGATGTTTTTAATGGGCTAGGACATATTGGAGATGCCAAGATAGTAGTTGATCAGAGTGTTACACCAGTCCAACATTCACCTCGTTGTGTACCAGTAGCTTTACGGAAAGATGTAGAGAAGAAGATTCTGGAATTAGAAGAGAAAGGAATCGTTACAAAAGCAGTGGAGCCCTCACAATGGATAAGCAGCATGGTGGTAGTAGCCAAACCACAGAAGATTCAGATTTGCTTAGACCCAAAGGACTTAAACTGTGCTATTCAGTGTCCAAAGTTCCAAATGCCAACTCTTGAAGAACTTTTACCTGAGCTTAGCAAAGCTCGAATCTTCAGTCCTTATGATGCAAAGGATGGATTTTACCAAGTCAGTCTCGACAAGGACAGTAGTAAATTAACTACTTTCTGGACACCCCTGGGGGGATACTGAATGCCCTTTGGAATAAGTCTAGCACCAGAAGTTTTTGAAAGTAAACTGCAAGAGTGCCTTGCTGACCTGCCTGGTGTGAAAGTCATCAGAG